GTTAAATGCTCTAACATATTTCCCATTCATATAATCGAAGTCATAAGGAGCTTGAGGATAGCTTCGCCCGTTCGCGATTATAGTAATTTCCCGTACGTTAAAGTGTTGGAAATTGAAAGGACTACGACTTAAATTTCCAACATAGTCCGTGTTTGCTACCAAACCAAGTGTTATTCTTCGAGGAATCTGGTCCATGAAGAGGTTGGCATTAAATTCGTATCTTCCTTGGCTAATAAAGAGAGGTTTCATCATAGTCTTTCTTATTGCATAACGGGCGGGTTTCATGTCAAGTTTTCGGGCAATGTCCAAAGCTAAACCATCCATGAGATCCATCTTTTTTACATAAAGTTTACAATTAACTACTTCGAAATGGTAACGTGTAGATTGAGCAAGACCCAGAACAGGAGGGTCAATTAGAACGAATTTTGTGTCATTTGGTAAAATCTCTATATCTACCTCACATTGATTTATTAAATAAAGCGGCTGATTGAAAATATCAGCATCAAGTTTAGAAATAAATTGTGTTGTTTTACTATTGGAAAATAATCTTTTCCTAGCCTCATATCCTTCACCACTTTCTAGCATTGTACCAGAGTCAAAATAATATCCAGATGAGTTGAGATGCGAACTTTTTGCTCCTTGGGAATACGAAAGTTCATACGACAAGTAGGTTTTGTAAGCGTATAGGGAGTTTGAATTGAAGATTTCGCGCCCATTTACACTAACTTTCATATTATTTATGAAAGTTTGCCCTATGAGTTGAATAGGTGCAACATTGTCTGTTGCAGCAAGATTAATTAGTTGTCCGTTCTCATTCTCTTTTCTTATTCTAAGTTCAGTAAAAAGGTAACATTTTGACAAGTCAATATAATTTTGACTTGAATGGATTTTAAAATGGTAGGGAGTGTCTGTAAGAGGATTACTGGTGAGAATTTCAAATACTTTAGAAGATGTTACTGTAACATTAGTCGGTGGAATTTGGAAAAAGTCCAGAGCACTTGTAATAGAATTAATACTGTCACTATCTATTTTGTGAAAAGCCATTTTAATAGAGACCAAAAGCGTCCGATCTTAATCTTTTTTTAACTTTTTTTCCAATAAATGTTTGATGTGCAGGCATTGCATTCCTTTTTATACCCTTTTTACGACCAGTCCCAAATTGTTTTGGTAATCCCCCTTTCTCCAATACGGTGTCAATACCTTTTCTTCCTTCTTCTTTGAGCGCTGCTTTAAGCGGTTCTCCTTGATTAACCCTCTCTAACACTCGCTGTCCGGTATTTAATGCTTCCCCAGCTACTGTAGTGCCAGCTTGTTTAATGATTGGAAGGAAAAAACGCCAAAGTCCCCTCATTACATCTCCTATTCCTGCACCTCTCTGAGAATTACCGTAACCTCTTTGAAATGGCGAAGAACCCTTGAAATAATTGTATTCATCAGATATGCCACTTCCTCTCATAGGAATAAATTCTTCATAACCCACTGATCTTGTATCAAAAATAATATGTACCATTTTAGAAAATTTTACTTCGAAAATTAAATAAAATTACAATTTTGAGGGTATTTATATAGACACGTCACGTGAACATTAAAAATTAATGACTTTCTTAAAGATTAAAACAATCATCACTGTTCCAAATGCAAATGGAACAAGTCTTCCTCCATCCATCGTTCTTAATTCTATTTCAATCTCATTAATTTCCTTAGGAAGCACACGAATATAGATTGGTGAGTCATAGATTTTTTCATGATATTCTCCAGGTGTTGCTCCTGAGACAGAAACAACTCTTAATAGAGAACTTAGAGAATTTCCGACTATCATATTCTCGGTTAGTCCTCTTGTGTATACAGCAAAACTTGAGAATCCTCCTCTCAAGTCACTCCCGTACTTTGCAATCTCATTATTCATAACCATATTCGAGTTTTCAAAGCCCAGCACATATCCAAGCTGAGGAGAAAACGATAGATATTTAATATTTGGGTGAGAATATTCCATTTTAAAACGTTTAAAATCTTTGTGAAAGGACAGAGAAATAGAATCTATGATTTGTTTCTGGACAGTAGCAGTTATTTTGTCTTTTCTTAGATAACTGTATTTTTTTAAAAGCCCTTCAATCATTGGTAAATAACTTTCTCTTTGAAAATCAGTAGGGGGTTTTCCTATTACGTGGGTAAGAACTCTTTCCATATCATCAGTCCATTTTATTTTTTGTTGAACGACTGATTGATTCTGTTTTAACGGAAGAGCTTCAGGGAGTGGAGGAAGAGTTTGTATAGGCTGTGGTAGTGATTCCGGAGTTTTTTGAGGGGTTGTAGTAGTAGGTTTTGGCGGAGGAAGTAATTTTTGAGGTGTAGTTTTTTGATGAGGAAGTTGCGTAGGCAAGATTTGAGGGGGTGGAGATGGTGGTTTTTGTGGTAGTTTAGGGGGTGAATAAAGTTTTTGACTTAGTTTAGACCCTGGTGTTGGTTTTTGTGGTGTTGGAGGTTTTTGTTGAGACGGCGGTTTACTTGGTTTTTGAGTAGGAGGAGGTGTTTGTGTAGTAGTAGGTTTTTGAGTAGAAGGTGGGGGTGTAATAGGTTTTTGAGTAATAGGTGGAGGTGGTTGTGAAATAGGAGGTTTTTGAGTAGTATGTGGAGGTGGTTGTGTGGTAGTAGGTTTTTGAGTATAAGGTGGAGGTGGGGGTGTAATAGGTTTTTGAGTAATAGGTGGAGGTGGGGGTGTAATAGGTTTTTGAGTAGTAGGAGGAAGTGGTTGTGGAGTAGGAGGTTTTTGAGTAGTAGGAGGAGTTGGTTGTGTAATAGGGGGTTTTTGAGTAGTAGGAGGAGGTGTTTGTGTAATAGGGGGTTTTTGAGTAGTAGGAGTAGTAGGAGGAGGTGATTGTGTAATAGGAGGTTTTTGATTAATAGGTGGAGGTGGTTGTGGAGTAGGAGGTTTTTGAGTAGTAGGAGGAGGTGATTGTGTAATAGGAGGTTTTTGAGTAGTAGGAGGGGGTTGTGGAGTAGGAGGTTTTTGAGTAGTAAGAGGCAGTGGTTGTGTAATATGGGGTTTTTGAGTAGTAGGAGGAGGGGGTTGTGGAGTAGGAGGTTTTTGAGTAGTAAGAGACGGTGGTTGTGTAATAGGGGGTTTTTGAGTAGTAGGTGGTTGTGGAGTAGGAGGTTTTTGAGTAGTATGAGGAGGTGATTGTGTAATAGGAGGTTTTTGAGTAGAAGTAGGTTTCTGGGGAGTTGGAGGTTTTTGAGTAGAAGGAGTAGCAGGTTTTTGATGTTGAATTGTAGAAGGTTGTAGTCTAGGAGGCGAAGGAAGTATTGTTTCTTTAGAAGGAGTTATAGATTTCTCATTTTCTTGAGGTAGAGGCGCAGGTTTCTTTACTGGCGGAGTAGGTGAAGATGGTTTTGCAGGATCAACCCATCGCGGAGGAGAAGGTTGTATCCTTGGAGGCGATGGTAGAGTCTCCTCTAAACTTCGTTTTGGGCGTCCAACTCTTGGAGGTGAAATTAGAGTTGGCCTATCGACAAAACTATCAGTTTTATTTTGAGGAGATTCTTCAAGCGATCCACTCTGGTGTTGTAAAGTTGATGTTAAAAATTTTAGTAAATCTTCCGGTTTATTGTGTGAGCCTCTTGGTACAGGTACTCTTATTATTTTAGCCATTCCTTTAAAATCTGTACAGTGAATAGCAATCCATTGTTCGTCAAGAGTACCAATCGTTGAAGGCCATGAATATGGGTATGAGATGCTATGTAAACCACATACCCAGTCTCCAGAAAAATAAATTGGTTTCGGGAGATGAACTCGAAACTTATTAGGCTGATTATCGGGATAATCAGTTGTATTACTTAGTAAACAAACGTAAAAACTGTTTGACATTTTTATCTCGAATAAAATTATACAATGTGAAAACAAATGACTTTTATACCAACTGGTTCTCATGTATCCATTCTCTTTCGGGGTAACCTATATATTTTACAAGTAGTTCATATGTACCATCCGGTCGTTTTCTTTTTTGATATACCTTCTCAATTCTGTACTCGGTCCCCGCATCTTTTTTCACTTTAGTGAGTTACTCATTGTAATACGATCCCTTGTACTTATCTCCTTTGTCATCTACTAATTTGTAACGAACGGGTCTTGATTGATCTTTGACTTTGTCAACTTCTGCTATTACGTCACCCCAGTTTGGAATATATCCCTTCTCAAACGTTCCTTTATTTATACTCATACGAACAGAATCTCCTTTGTTAAATTTTGGCTTGGATTTTTTAATTTTAGTAGACAATACGTCTCCGTAAATTCTCTTCCATACCTCTTGTGCATTCGCAAAGTTTACATCCATAGGACGCATTCCGTGAACTCGACTCCTTGCCTTATTAATCCCGTCCAAAATTTTGGGTAAAATTTCTATCCAATTAAGTGTTTTATAATGAGCAAAATATCTATATAATCGTTGCTTAACATTTCTAATTGAACGCTCCGCAAGCGAAGCTTTGACTGTTGAATGGGTAGCTTCAAACTTTTCAATTTCTTCTTTCTCAAAATATTCCTTTATTTGTCTATTTTTAAATTCTAGACCTCTATCAGAGAAAATTCTATGTGGTTTCATAGGCATCTGCTCGATTAATTGCTTAAATGCCTCCAAAATATCTTCGGCTTTCTTTGATTTTACAGCTACTCCAAAAACACGCTTAGATAGAACATCAATTCCCAAGAGTAAATATCTATTTCCTTTATTATTCCTAGAAAGTGTTTGAAAATCAGCCAAGTCTACTTGAACATCTGTCATAAAACCCGAGGCTACAGTTTTACTGCGAGGAAAATGAATTCTCTTAGGACGCATAAGAGTATAAGTCCTATGTCCCTCAAGAAAATCTTGTACAACGCTTCTAGGTAAATTTTTAAGAACTTTGCGGGCTTCATGCCATAATCTATCAACTCCTGAAAAGGCTGCAGGGGAATCTGGGTCATTATACAGATGTTGCAAAAGTTTTGTATAATCTGCCATTTTTCACCATAAATTTGGTTTAAATCTATTTATATCCTGTTGGGAAGGCTTCTTTACAGCCCATTTCTTTCCAATTAATCGCCCTTTTACACCGATATGTCGAGAACTTATATCTTCTTGGGTCGGCTTCTTCGTTGCCCATTTGTATTTTCCACTCGTACGCCCTTTTATTGTATTTAATTTTTCCACCCATGCCTTTGATAAACGTTCTGATTTTTTCTTCGAAACAGGTCTTTTTATCCTTTTATAATGTAACAACTTGGTCCCTTCAGGAATTTCAGATTTTCTTTTTGAGCGCTGACGTGGTATTGAAGGAGAAGGGGATCTACCTTCTCTCAATATTCCTTGACGACGACGAGATCTTTTAGCTCTATCTAAAACTTCTGCCTCCTCATCTCGACGTATTTGTTGCATTACACTATGATCAAGGGGGACTTTGACATTTTGGGATGATTTTCTTCTCCTTAATAGCTCTTTCTTCTTTCGCGTTTTTGCAATTTGTTGGCTTAATCTAACTTCCTTATTTTCATATGTATTCTTACTTTTCTTGGACGCTTCAATATTACTGGAATCTTGGTCTCTTTTTAATGCTACAGGATTAGAATCCATTAATGGGGCATTTTGTGATTCGATAATGGGATCTGTTTTATTAATTGATTCAACTGCTGAAGTTGAGGGTAACGAGAGACTTGCCGTCACCCTCTTCTTTTGTTTCTTTTTAACAGGAATTTTAGACTTTTTAATTTCTTTAGCGGTCTTCATCCTTTTTGTACCATTTCCATTTATTTTCTCTTTCCTTTTTACAGGTTGCCGTGGAGTTGGTGGCGCTGGGGATACTCTTTCGCTTGGAACGTTTCTATTTTTAGCTATGGAAGGTAAAGACGGGTGGTACGAAGATTCAGAGAGAGGCGGTACAATATTATAAGCTCTGTTTGGAGGTTCTTTAGGGTAAGCTGAGAATGAGACATCATCACTCATCCACATTTCATCATCATCCTCGGCTGTTGAAGGACGCGTTTGTTCATTACTCATAATAGCCCCTTTGGGTGAAGCGACCATTTCAACTCTAACTGGTCGATTTTGACTTTCATTACGTAAGTGTAAGTAACGCCGTAATTCCTGATTATAACGAATGTTTTTAGCACTTGGGTGTTCTTTTCCTTTCTGAGTTCTATCAAGTGTACGCCTCACATCATCAAGATTTGGTTCACCGGTATCGAATGTAGTGAGACCCCGATAAATTTCTTGAGGAACAAGAATAAATTTATTAGCCATAATTAAATAATTAAGTGATTGATTAAATTAATTCCCGCTTTTTATAGAGCGCGCCAGTTCAATGAGTATGGGTGTAAGGAGAGCGGCAAACGCACCAACACCATTTCCCTTCTGCAAAGCATGCCTTGCTCCCCTTTCGCTTCGAACCCTACTTACTTTTCGAACAAAACAGGCATAAGGCATTAAACGTTTCTTTTGACGAGTTGTCAACTGAAACCTTGATTTAACAATATTAAGACAAATTTCTACTAGTGTTAAAAGTTGATTATTACTAGCAAGTCGTAAAAGACGACGAATTTTTCTTTGAGATTTTGTATAACACAGAGTATTTAGAAAATTTGAATTTTCACTAATTAAATGACCGACCATTTTAAATGCCACTTTTTGGAGTAAAAATAATTTTTTCGTCCTCCTTAAATATTCCTGTCCTAAGCCTTAAAGTTGGGTCAGAAGAGGCATGCATGTCAATCAATAAATATCCATAAGGTTGGTTTTTTGATTGATTGTAGGCATCCAGGAAATAATCTAGCCTTCTAGGGAAGAGTTGGACTCCTATATTTCTTACTGCGAGAGCAGAATTAGGTGACCGCATCAGTACAATATACTGGGCATTTTGACGAGCGACTTTAATTTTTCGGTCGAATAAATTTTGTGTAACAAATATAACAGAAAAATTTTGATGGTGTGACTTTTTTGTAAAAAGTTCAGATAGATATTTTTCATCTATTGACAAAAGAAGGTCATCCAAAATTAAAAGAAGTGGCTTGGGTAGTGTTTTTATTAAGTCTTCAGGTAGGGCTCCGACAAACACATTAACACCAGATTTTTGAAGTATTGGTACAATACTACTCATTTCACCAAAGCAATAAAGTATACTCTTTGGTTTGGGTTCAATTAACTCATCTACCTCTGAGATAAATTTGAGCAAGAAAGTACTCTTGCCACTAGAACTAGGACCTGAGACAATCATACCAAAAGGCAGTTTAAGTTTTAAATCTTTATTTGAAAAAGTTAACGCTTCCATATTAAATGATAGGAAAATTAATGAACTTAAAAATTAATTAACTTAAATACTTTGCGAATTTAAATAGGTGGTTGTAAATTAGTGTCTTCCATCTTAGCTATTACTTCATTCTTAACCTCTATCTCTGAAGATATGCCCATAGTGACAGCTTGCATAGAATCGAAAAATTCCATAATGACGGCATCGTCCGCATTGGGTTGTCCCATAACATTTAAATCATTAACAGATGGTTCGGTTTCAATAGTTGGAGTTTGTTCAATATTTTGAACATCTTCAATCAATGGTGGATCTACTACCTCTTGGAGAGGCTCATGGGGAGGAGATTTTAGAGGCGAAAGCTGAGTAGTAGCTTCACGTTTACGAGAATTCGTATTCACAACCGAGCGGACATCTTGTGAACCATATGGTATATTCAAGACGCGGCCTTTGTTTTTGATCTAAAATTTATATTTCATCCGAAATTATTTTAGGAAAATGACCTTAAAGAAACAATGACCCGGGAGGTCATAAATGCAATCAAATGGCACTAAACGAGGAGATGACAGGCGAGTACAATAAATTGTCACTCCCTCCTTTGTAACAATGAAGTCCAATTCTACTTCTGTGCTTTTACATTCCCGGCACCGACCCCCGTGTTCAAAAGGAATGAAACGCGGGGTGGTGATTCGTTCACTAGTAATGGTTATCCCATTAGTAGTTATGTTGAAGTCGACTTCAGGGATAATCTGGGTTAATAATGATTTCTTGTCATTCATGTTGAGGGCCATTTTATTAAAATTTTTCTAAAATTAATTTACTTTGTTCAAAATTTTGAGTTTATATACCCTTCTCTCGCTCCCGTAGGTGTCTATACTATCTAACCCTACAGTATTGAATCAGGCACCAACTTTGAAAAAACGAAGCCAAGCCATTTTTAAAAAATCGATATTAAGCCACGCCCATTTTTTACTAAAAAAATCCATAATCCTTATTTCTTAAGATCATTCTATATAATTTACAACAAATTTTTCCGCAATTAAATATTTAATATTTTAATATTAAAAATATGCAACAAAATAACTCATCATCTGAGAAGATTGGTAACTTTTCCTTTAAAAATTTATTTAAGTTTCTATTTAAAAGATGGGGATTGTGAGCAAAACAAGGAAATTTCCTTTAAAAAACCTGTGAAATTAGAAAAGAAGGAATCAACTTCTAAAAGCTCTTTAGGTTTCATAATAAAATAATTATTTTCATACAAATTTCTTAAGAGCCAACTATTACTAATCCTCCCGTGGATCTAAATTTAATAAAAATTGTTGAAGAACAAGTTGTTAAAAAACAACAACTTTGGAAGCTAATACGCGGAAAATTCTTAATTACATTCTACTAGTGTCAAGGTAATAAAATTTAATATTTTATTCAAAAATTAAATTTTTAGACTGTCAAAACAAATTATTTTATTCGAAAGATAAATTTGAAGAGAATCCTGATTGTGTTACTGTGAAGATAGGATTATGCAATAACTGTGTCAAAGCGAATAGCATTGCTACTGATGTTTTGGCACCATACAAAAAGATTGGTACCAAAAGAAAAGCAGAATGAAGAGGAAAAACTGACATTAAGTTAAGAAAAAACGTTTGATAACTTTAAATGTTTGAAAACTTTCATTGTAACTTTAAATGTTGAGTTAAAAAATAAAATTTTGTTAAATAAAAATTGGACATTTTGCTTAATAAAATCCGACCCCAAAAAGATAAACAGATGCGGTCCTTTGCATCTGGTTGCATCTGGTCTCTCTTTCTCTCTCCCCTCTCTCTCCCTCTCTTTCTCTCTCCCCTCTCTCTCCCTCTCTCTTTCTCTCTTTACCTCACTCTCCCTCTCTCTTTACCTCTCTCTCCCTCTCTCTTTACCTCTCTCTCCCTCTCTCTCCCTTTCTCTCTTTACCTCTCTCCCTCTCTCTCCCTTTCTCTCTTTACCTCTCTCTTTTTACCTCTCTCTCTCTCTTTTACCTCTCTCTCCCCCCCTCTCTCCCTCTCTCACTCTCTCTCACCTATCTAACTACTATTGTCTCTATAAAACACAAAAATTTACTAATCTAGATTATAATTCATTCTACTTCCTATCTAATTTTTGCAAGAAAAATTTAAACTACATATTTCATAATATTTACTTTACTTTAAATGTCGAATACAAATTAATTTTTTAATTACTTTTATTTTTTAATTTTATTTTAAATCTATAAATTTTCTTTTTCATTTTCTTCAGTTTCATCTATAATGATGAATGATGTGCCTCCTTGGCAACTAATTTGCTCATTTTCTCAAGAGTAGCCTCCTTTCGGGAAGACGAGAAAAGTTTCATCTCCGTTCCCGGAGTACGTTTCTTCTGAAATGTGAAAAATATTTTTATTATTTTAACTGTTTTTAAAATTTATTAAATAATATAAATCAGATAGTTATTTAATTCCTAAAGATCTGGTTCACTCCCAACCGTCGAAACCCCTTTTGCACAGCTGAGGGAAAGATATAGCCCAGCTTTGGTTCATTATACTTATTCATTAACTAATTAATTTATTAAAAATAATTACTCGACAGTCGACAACCAAAGGTGTTGGTTGTACAGTAGGTGTCAAAATATGATGAGGCCCAGCAGCAAATTGACGCGTAGTCATAGGACGACTACGTTTTTTCAAAACCATAAAGGCAAATGATGCCAACTAAATATTATATAATTAATTGGAAATTTAGTGTAGTCCCTGTATAACACCTAATTAACAGAGGCTATTAGCTACATCATGGGGTAAATCTTTTAGAAAGTGTAACAATCCCCTCCTTAGTTAAGTGTAGAGAAAAATTTACTTGGAAAATCAGTGAAACCAAAATAAAGAATAGAAGTGTATAGAGAATAGTTGCGTTTGAACAATTTTGCGGCAGAAATTGTAGCGGATTGGAAACATATTTTTCAAATTGTTCCGCTGGAACACTTTCTGGCAGGCAAAACGTAGGCTTGGAATAAATACCAGGCCTCAAGCATTTGAGATTTCCCGGGCATGTACAATTCATTTCAACCCAAATCATTATTTATTTATTTATTTAAAACCTAAAAAATCAGAACAAATCAGAAAATTTTTATTGGGTGAAAATGTGACAAATTATTTTTAATTATAATGAATATAACTGTCATAATCACAGTTTTTCACAAAAACATATGTTTCCAAGTCCCTTTTCACTTTATTTTTATCCAAAATTTATTTTTACGCAACTTCCTTTTGTTCTCTATACAGCTCTATTAAATGTTTAGAAAAGAAAAAGCTACCAAAAAGACAACCCAGAAGATCACCTCTATAATATTAAAAATTCAGTAGGTGATCTTCTGGGTTAGCCCGCCTAGTGTGAATTATTAATAATAAAAGAAATTAAAAGAAAAATACAAAAGTTTATACAAGAAAAAATTAGTAATTGTCTCGTTTCACTTATTAGATTTGCTGCTCTAAAGAGAGCATTTTGGGTTTTGTAGAGCATCCACCATTCGTCCATCGTCCACCAAATTTTCGCGCACTCACTCATTAACACCTTAAAATTTTCCCTTACCCCTCCCTCGAACCAATTTATTTTACAAATTGTTTCCAAATACCCCCTGCCCGAACCAATTAGTTAAACAATTAGCATCTCTTGA